TTTTTTTTTTTTTTTTTTTTTTTTTTTTTTTTTTTAAAGACAAGGTCTCTCAATTCCTGGCTGACCCGAAACTCATTATTAGGCCAGGCTAGTCTCAAGCTCACAAAGATCCATGTACTGGGATTAAGGGCATACACCCCCCCCATTCCCCCTCTGTTTTTTTTTTTTTTGGCCAGGGAGGAGTGCCACTGTGAAGCAGACTAACTTGAATTTCTGGCAATTTGTTTGTTTCGTTTGGTTTTTCGAGACAGGTTCTCTGTGTAACTTTGGAGCCTGTCCTGGAACTCGATTTGTAGACCAGGCTGCTCTTGAACTCACAAAGATCCACCTGCCTATGCCTCTCAAGTGCTGAAATTAAAGGCATGCATCATCGCCCAGTTTCCTTATTTACAGAGATTTTTCTTCCAGTTCCCACTTTCAAAGGCTAGAATTTTCAGCCGGGCATTGGTGGAGCACGCCTTTAATCCCAGCACTGGGAGGCAGAGGTGAAAGGTTCAGGCATTATGCTGGCCTGCCCCTGTTACCTGGTGGAATCCACTCAGGCAATACCCTGGTCAGCCCAAGGTTCCATGGGAAAGAAATCTGCACGCAGGTGCAGAGGACCCCTTTAAAAGATAAGTCCCTGCCCCTTTACGCTCTCTGTTTTCTCTCCCTCTGTTCCTGTCCCGCGCTCTATGCGCTCTCTCTGTCTCTCTATGGCGACCGGCCATGGCGGTCAGCCATTTACCCTGTTCCTCTTCTTAGTCTCCCCATTCTGTCAGCCCTTATAATAAACTTATAGTCAATATATCTGTCTCAGCAATTTCTCTTTTCTTTTTAAACAAAACAATAACAGGTGGATCTCTGTGAGTTCGAGGCCAGCCAGGTCTCCAGAGTGAGGGCCAGGACAGGCTTCAAAGCTATACAGAGAAACCCTGTCTGGAAAAACCAAAAAAAAAAAAAAAAGGCTAGAATTTTCTAAGTTTGATGAAGGGCCCCCTCTTCACACAAGTTGGTAGGTGAGGAAATGCACTTCACAGAAGGCATTTTCTTTCTGGTCCTAATGTACATCTTTAAATTAATCGATTGTTAGCTGGGCCATAGTGGCACATGCCTTTAATCCCAGAATTCCTGAAGCAGAGGCAGGCGGATTTCTGAGTTTAGCAGCCAGCCAGGACAGCAGGGGTACACAGAGAAATCCTATTTTGAGAAACCAAAAACATTAAAAAATTAAACTAATAGGTTGTTATTGTTTATGGCTGGATCCAAATATTATTAGGTACCTTATTGCCTCTTACTTCATTTACCCTTTTAGGAATGGAAGAAACTATCTTCCAGGAAAATAAGAGAGGTATATGGGAAAGGTAAGGTTAAAACGGTGTTGCTGTGAGCTGAGTGTTGGAGGGATTGGCATGGCATTCACCCCTCTCCTACATTCATCTGTTCTTCCTAATTGCATAAGAATAAAGCAGAACTAAAGCAAAGCATACAGATAAAAGTTTTGGCACTAGACCAGCAGGCCTAATTCTGTATGCCGAATTCCTTCCCTCTTTTGTTCGCTAACAGCCCCCTCCATGTACTCAAAGCCTCCATCTAACTCTTCTTTGCCCTTCCACTTCCGCCTCCTAAGTCACCCTAGACTTTCCAGGTCTTCATCTGCAGCATCCCGTCTGCACATGTTCTAAAGGCTCCGCGTGCCACCTGGCCCCGAGGTCAACGAGAGTCCACGCCCGGTGGAGGTGGTCTCAAAGTGTACTGCGAGGTCCGGGAGGAGAGCTAGCCCGAAGTGATCCTCACGTTCATTTTCCAGGAGTGCTCATGGGAGAGATCTGGCAGGTTTTACTATTTCCCAATTGTTTACTCGCCAAGCTTTCGGGTCCACGCGCCTCCCAGCTGCGCCTCGCACGCTGAACTTCATTCAAAGGCCAGGCAGGGCGGCCCACGAGGTCGCGAATGGGCTTGTGGATGACCTCCAGGCTACTTCCTCCCTCCTGGCGCCCTTCCCCCACTCCTCCAACCACCTTCTGGTAAACAAAACTGTCCCCCAGGGCGAGGGGAGGTCTTGCTCTTCTGCGCCCTCTCGCGCAAAGGGTTAATTTTTCCGATCGCACGAGGGGGAGGAGATTTCCCTGTAGACGAGTAAAAAGCGTGATGGACAAACGTGCGGGCACTAAGACCGCAAGGCATTCATTTCCTCCTACGGTGGATGCGGACGCCGGGAGGAGAGCCCCTGAGCCAGGAGCTGGGAGCTGAGGCGCAGGCAATGCTCAACCCTGAATGTAGCTGAGAGGCTGGGAGAGAGATCGGCCAAGGAGACTGACGGCGGGGCCATACCTAGGGGGGTGGGTGGGGGAAGCAGACAGGAGAGCACTCAAAATAAAAGGCTCTTTACAGATTTTTTTATTTTGTATAGAGAACACGTAGCGACTCCGAAGATCAGCCCCAATGAACATGTCAGTGTTGACTTTACAAGAATATGAATTCGAAAAGCAGTTCAACGAGAATGAAGCCATCCAATGGATGCAGGAAAACTGGTAGGTGATGCTTTTCGCGTGTTACTGTTCCCGGGAGTGCATTAATGTCGGTATTCCCGGTCAGAGCGTGAGCGGAGCGATGGATTGCCGGCAGCAGCCTGCGAGCAGCTCGAGGAGTGCTCGAGTCTCATGTCTGCAGGAGTCTGAGGCTGCATGAAGCGTGCGGTTTGGGGGTGCCCTGGCTGAGCCGCGGCCACGCGGGCATCTTTGTGTAGATTATATAACGTAGAACACATAATGTGTGTGCCTGGAACGATATAGGGAGGCAAGGGAGACACACCATTCAGATACCCCACCTGTGCTGTCTCCTGGCTTTCGCCTAGATTTGGGGGTTTTGCTTGGCCTCCTGCAACTGGGGCGTGCTAGGCAGTGGAGGGAGGACCCGGTCTCCGCTCGCTTTAACCCTCTCCAACCCACCTCTATCTGGTCCTCTCCCCATCCCTCGTGCCCTTCCTTTCTCCTTGTAGTTCTTCACTTCACTGCCCTCTCCTGACTGCCGCCCCCAGCCGTAGACGCTTGGGGTCCAGGAACCCTTCCCCACCCAGATTACTTTCCGGTTTCTTAAAGACATCGGGGAAGAGGGGACAATGAAAACTGCAATAAAAATGAATGAACCCGAGCAAGTGGAGCCACGCCATTATTAAGTTTCTGTGTAAAGGAAACGCCTTTTGGACACACTTCTCAGTGAGGAGCGGCAGGAGTTTGGACATTAGAAAGCTCTTGCCAGAGAGTCGGGTGTGGGTGTGTGTGTGTGTGGGGCTGTGGGGGTCCTTCCCCAGAACTTCGAATCTGGGAAAACATATTGTTTACTATGTTCCCTCGGTCAATCTACTGAAAAATCCCCGAGTGGGAGGAGATCCAGTGTCACCTTGCAATAGTTAGCAAGGGAGGTCCCTCCTTCCCCGTAGACGGTTCCCTCCCTCTAGTGCAAGCCCTGCGATCCCCGCTGTGCAGCGGCTGGCCCTCGGGGGGCTTCCGGGCTCCGGGAGGTTCCGCTGCCGCGTGCGAGGGCGCTCGCGATCTGCCTTCCCTCCCTCCATTCATCAATGGGAAACCGGAGACGCTGGCGCGTCCGGGGCTGGGGCTGGGGCGGGTGGTGGCAGCCGGCTCTGGGGGGGGCGGGGGGG